AGCGAGGGTCGCCCAGTGCAAGCTTGCTGCCTGCTGATCCCACTCCTGGCCACAGAAGGACAGCGCTGGGGAGCACCCAAGCAGTGGCCAGCAGGGACCAGGCCTTGCAGGGAAGTGCCAGCACTGCCGCTGCTCCAGTGACGATATCCTGCTGATGCAGTGCATCCCCTGTGACATCAGCACATGTCATTAGAAGGCCTGTGAGGTCAGCAGCATGGAGACAGCACAGATCGGGAGAGAGACGAGAGATTTCCCTTCTTGTCCTGAGAAACAGTCACCTCCCTTCTGCCCAGTTCATTCCTAGCGGTTCCTGGCCCATCCACCAGGAACATCTCCAAATGCTGGCAAAGGCCACGGAATAAAGGAAGTGGAGCACTGGAGAAGTCACTGCTGTGTTCCTGCCCCAACACGCCTCTGCTCTTGGAAGCCCTTCCAGGAAGGTGGGGTTTGAGGCTTGTCCTGGGGCTGGGCTTTTTTCAAATGATGAGAGCGAAGGCACCTGGGATGCAGCAGCCCCTCAGTGTGCCTGAACTCCTCTGCACCGCATGTCACTCACCTGGAGAAGTAGGATGTGTTATATGGAGGGAATTGCAGCACATTCCCGGGCCTTCCTCCAGGCAGAGGGCCTTTGTGGTGTTGGGGCATCCCTGAGGGCCAGTGGTGGAGCTGGGGCCGATCTCCAGGCAGGAGAAGGGGCTGCTGAAAATGTCCTTGGCAATGGGCATCCTGTGATCAAGGGACACATTAAAAAATCACTGGGCTGTGTCTTGACTGAGTAAGGGATGGGGGTAAGACGCCGCAGCAGTGTTTGCAAACCAAAGGACACAAGTGGAAACCCCAGTGTGATGTGCCTCATATCCATGCACTACCTGCCTCTAACACATAGAGGTGGGACAGACCTTGGCTCACTGCAGCCCTGGGAAGCGGTCACTTGCTCATAAGCACCAGGTCTACCAGAGATGCCCTCAGGGGTGCCCGTTAAATACCAGCTGTGAATGGCCAGAGCTGTCCTGTGAGTCCTGTGCTGCCCATGTCAGCTGCGTGCTCCAGTGGTGCTGGGCAGCGTTGGCATCTCAGGTAGCACTGCAGGCCTGCAATTGGCTATTAAATAGAGCAGCTGCCCCGAATTTCATTAGGCAATGTAGGGATGTCCATGAGACAAGTGCCGTTACAGTCCCTGGAGATGGAGGGAAAACCAGATGGAGAAGAGGGAGAGAGAGACTCAGCTCTCCCTGTGGCACAGTTCTCCATTGGGTCAGGTGGATGCCTCTACAGGCTGCCCTGAGCCTACTAAGGAGGGACAGGTTTAGTTGTCCTAAATGGGTGCATTTGCTGTCATTTCAGCTGGCCAAAGGCATTCCTCACCAGCCTCCAAGGGGGTGCCCCAGGTGCTGCCCTGTCCCTCACGGTACCTCCATGAGAGCTTGCAGATGCCTGCATGTACCTCTGCCCCCTGACATGTCACCAGGTGTTTTCAACCCCCAGATTTCTTCCATCTCCATTAATAATCCTGGAGATGAGACAAGGAGCTCACCTGCAGCTGCCCATGTTATGCACACCTAAACTGAGTGCAGAGGAATCCCAGCTCCCGTGGGTTTGTGGCAGGCATGGAAGGGATCTTTGTCCCATTCCAGCCCCAGGACAAAAACCCAGCATGAGATGCCTCGAGTGACTCTGCTGAATCCCTTCCTTAAGCAGGGGGTTAAAGGAGTTACTTCTATGACCATGCCTGGGTGTCCCACCATCAATTGGGATGAAAAGAGGTGATTGTTACAGAAAATTATTTTTTCACTAAGAGAAATGAGCCTGGTGTGAAGAAGTGTGTGTGCCAGGTGAGGGAGGAAAGCCCAGGGATTCCTTCAGGCTGTTTCCCAGCAGGTTCCGACCTGGAGCAGGGCTGTTTGCAGAGGCCCCCATGGGACGTGCAGTTGCTCCCCATGTTGCTGCATGGACTTGGGAGAGACCAAGCATAGGATTTAGGAGCAACCTGTTGGTGTCTAATGGCAGCAGAGATGGTCACTGAGGTACATAGGCATGGTTGTCCCACATGGCACACAGCAGAGGACATCCTCCAGGACATAAATGTGAAGCTGCCAGGAGAGTCCATTAGCTATATGCAGATTTTCATTGCTGTGCTGAGGATGCCCTCTGAACAGGGATGGCGCAAAGCCTTCTCCACGTGCCTCCCTCACCTGGCTGTGGTCTTTCTGTTTCTCAGGAGTGCCTTTTTTGCCTACCTGAAGTGCCCTTCCATCTCATCCCCATCCTTGGACCTGGTGATGGCTGTCCTGTACTCAGTGATGCTCCCAGCAGTGAACCCCCTCATCTACCGCACAAGGAACCAGGAGCACAAGGAGAGACCATTTCTGCCATTAGGAAAGTGATGTCGTGGATGTCAAGTGCTGTCAGGGATGGCACTGAGGGGCTGCAGGCTTCAAGGGGATCTGCTGCAGAAGAGAGAAGGGGACACAGCAGGGGACACTGACCACTGTACACTTGTGCCATGGAAGTCCCCATCTGTGGGGCTGAGCCCTCTGTGCCCCAGGAGCTGCTGTGGTCTTCAGAGGGGCTGGGGCTGTGGTGGCAGTGCCCAGAGCCCTGCAGCAGCCTGCGGTGGACACTACCCTGAGGACCACTGGCACTGGCCTGGGATGAGGGCAGGGAGGTGGGCAGAGATCAGGGAGGTGGAAGAGCTGTGCTCAAGGTCTGTGTTGGGGGAACAGCCAGCTCTGTCGGCCTCTGTCCTGGCCCAGAGCCCTGCTGACCTGGAGCAGGGCTGTCTGTAGAGGCCCCCATGGGAGGTGGCTTGGTCAGGGCAGGGGCCATGGGCTGGAGAAGGCTGCAAAGGAAGGAGGGCCATGGTGGGAAGGAACCCTGAGGGAGCCATTGGGATTGTAATGGGGAGAGATCCATCCAGCCCTGAATGTGCACTGCCATGTGCGGTGCCTTGGCAGCATGGCTGTGGAACCATGTGTGGGGCAGTGGGGCTGGGACACTGCAGGGACAGGGCTCTGAGAGGGGCCAGGAAGGATCTGCCAGGGGGTGACAGCAAGGACAGGCTCCAAAACAGAAATTTATGGTTTAGATGGAGGTATGGTTTTAGCATGGGCAGAGCTCACCTGGAAGTGATGTTATCAAGAAAAGTCAAGAGCAAAGAGAAGAGCTTCTGCTGGAGCTAAGGCTCAGATTTCTCACCCAGCTCACCCAGGGCTCGTCCTGAGCAAGGCGGACACGAACCCTTCCTGCACTCCTGCCTGCCCCGCACCGCCAGGTGGCTGTAGCAGAGGGGACCCCCAGCCAGCCCCTCGATGGGGCTCTGCCAGCCCCTCGCCCTCCCCTCTGCAGTGACGTCATTGCTGCCCAGGGGGCTCTCTGATGCGCGGGGTGATGTCACAGTGCCTGCCGGCCAGCCCTTCTGAGGGCCAATCAGGCTGCTGCACTGGCAGTGACCTCACTCCAGCCCCCTCCCCACGGCCTGCCTCTCCCCTTCCCTCTCCCCTGTCTGGACCCTGGGGACAAAAGTCGGTGTTATGCAGCAGCTTTGCAGTGGTGGCCTCCGTGGTGGTTTTACCAGGGAGGACATCTGCCCATGTGCCAAAAGGACCTACTACCACCAAGATGCATTTGGTGCTTTGAGCTGTCACTGGCAGAGGTCTTGCAAAGTCTTTCTGCAGTTGTGCCCAGGGACCTTCACTCCATTGGTCCTGGGCTGGGGCTTTCACTTCAGCTGAACCTGTGTTGGTTGTGGCACAAGCAAGACACCTCTTACAGCTGTGCTCTGCATCCTCCTTCATGGGAGGGCACCACTCCGTGTCCTTCACTGTGCTCACGGTGTTTGTCTTAGCTCATGGATGAACCAGATTTGATCTGCTTGAGTCTTCTGAGGCCCAATCCAGCGCCTACTGCCTGCTGCACCTACAGCACAATAACTATTACTTTCCCTTAATATGCAGATTGAACTGATGGGTGTGTTCATATTAATGCCTTTTAATTTCCCTAGTTGGAAGGGGAAATAGAAAAAGACTGGAGCAAGCTGCTGGGATCTGCCACAGCCACTCAAAGTCACCCACTTTTTCCAGTCTTCCAGCCTGAATTTTTTCACAATGACCCTGCACGAGTTTCTCATAGGCTCAATGTAATTTCAAATGTAGATCATCTTCAAGAATCCACTGGCAAGTGTGCCAGGAGGCATGTTGCCAGCCCACAGGAATCCCGGCCTCCCCCACAGAACCTACGGACTTGTCCAGGCTGTAGTCTGGAGTTCCCAGGCTGCAGTGACCCCCTTGAGATGGTTGTGAGTCTTGTTATTGACTTTCCAAAGCTCTGCTAGAAACTGAGCTGCTGTTCTGGCTTCTTTACCTTATTTTGTAAAACTTCTGTTTCTAGAACTTGTATTTCTATGACTTCAAACTACAGCTGTTTGATTTGTAACCAGACACTATGTCTGTGGGCTCTAAGATCTTCATGGAATCATATCATAGAATCATAGAATGGCTTGGGTTGTAAGGAACCTTAAAGATCATCTAACTCCAACCCCCCTGCCACAGGCACGGATGCCACCCACTGGATCAGGTTGGCCAAGGCCCCTTCCAACTTGTCTTAAACACCTCCAGGAATGGGGCATCCACAACTTCTCTTGGCAACCTGTTCCAGTGCCTCACTACCCTTAGAAGGAAGAATTTCTTCCTAATGTCTAATCTAAATCTATCTTGTTTTAGTTTATGACCTTTCCCCCTTGTCCTACCATTATCTACTCGAGTAAAGAGTCTTTCTCCTACCTTTTTATTAGATCTCTTTAAGTATTGAAAGGCTGCAGTAGGGTCTGCCTGGGGCCTTCTCTAGACTCAATAGCCCCACCTCTCTCAGCCTCTCTTCACAGGAGAGGTGTTCCAGCCCCCGATCACCTTTATGGTCCTCCTCTGGACTCACTCTAACAGGTCCACATCTTTCCTGTGCTGGGGCTCCCAGCAAAAGTAGGGCCCCATCTTCCTCTCCTCTGGTTACAACAGTTCTCTTAACTTGGGAATTTCCTCCTCCTCTACTTTCTGAATGTCCTTTTGTGCATTCAATACCTTCTCATCTGTTTCTCTATGTGAGCCTGTGAATCACATCAGGCAGACCACATGGTTCAAATGGCACAAGCTTCCTTCTTACTGCCTTTTCAGTTTTCCAGTTGTAATGAGTAATGCTTCCCAGGCTGCAGTGATGGGACATGCTACTTCAAATCAGCCGTTCCTGCAAGGGCATTTCCCTTGTTGAAGGACCTTCCTTAGGAGTTCTGTAACATACTTTTCCTCCCTAACAAATGTTTTGGGTTTAGGTCAGAATGTTTTGGTAGTGGGGCAGGCTGCATGGGTGGCCTCTGCGAGAAGGGACCAGAAGCTGCATCAAGTGTGGAATAATTGCTGGAGGTGGCTTATTGAGACTAAAGAAGCTGCCCCAGTTCTGATCAGAACCAGTTCCTCGCTCTCAAAAAGGGATCCTCTGGCTTCTAGTCAAAGCTGACCCAATAAACAACGATGGTTGCACAGCTTTGATAACATTTTAAAGAAAGGATAAAGCATAAAAATGTTTGTGCAGCAACAGCTAGCAGAGGAGTGAGAAAATGTGAGAAACAGCCCTGCAGACAGCAAGGTCAGTGCAGAAGGAGGGCAGGAGGTGCCCCAGATGCCAGACTAGAAGATTCCCTGCAGCCCATGGAGAGGCCCCTGGTGGAGCAGGCAGTCCCCCTGCAGCCCATGGGTCCCACATGGAGCAGATCTCCACACTTCAGCCCATGGAGGAGCCCCCGGTGGAGCAGGCGGATGTGGCTTGGAGGAGGCTGAGGCCCATGGAGAGGAGCCCACTCTGGAGCATTCCTTTCCTGAAGCACTTCTCCCAGCTTGGTACTGATCCATGCTGAAGCAGTTCCCGAAGGACTGTGGGAAGCCCATGCAGGATCAGTTTGGGAAGGATGGCATCCCATGGGAGGAATCCGTGGGAGGGCCCCCACCCTGGAGCAGGGACAGAAAGTGACCGTGAAGGAGTGGTGGGGAAGAAATATCACAGACTGATCACAGCCCCCATTCCCTCTTCCCCGTGTCACTTGGTGGGAGGAGGTAGAAGTGGATGGATGGGAGGGAAGGTATTTTTAGTTTATCTTATTTTCTCACTCCTCCAGATAATGCATTTTTGTAATCTCCTTACATGCAATCTGTCTTGTCCATCACTGCAATTGTTAAGCAACCTCCCTGTCCTTAAATCAGCCCTGGTGCCCTTTTCCATTCTATATTTTTCCCCTCTTCCTCTGAGGATGAAGACTTAAAAGATCGGTGTGGTGGACTTCAGCTGCCCGTCAGTGTGAAACCACCACAATTTTCAGCCAAATTATTGGCTCCACATTTGAAAGAAGACTTGGGTTTAAAGGCAGAGAATTGGGGACATGCTGTTATTACAAAGATGCTACGGGAGTGTCAGCACTTTTGTTAATGTAGACAAAACTTAACAGAGTAAACAAAGCAGTTTAATTTTTCAACAGAAGTAGGATGAATAAAACATTGTTTATGAGAAAGCTACTGATGTAAATGACACTAAAGATAAACATAGCAATAATAGTAATGTAAGAAGCACCAGGCCTGCAAGGGAATATGATGCAAATTCTTTGTGGAGAAGGAGAGAAACTTACTATTAAGAAGTGTCTCTGAAATCACTTTCCTAGCACAATCCCTGAGCTCCTGGTTCCTCAAGCTGTAGATAAAGGGGTTCAGTGTTGGAGGCATCACTGAGTAAACAACTGCCACCACCAGGTGCAGAGATTGGGAGAAGGTGGAGGGGGGCTTCAGGTAGGCAAACATGCCAGTGCCAGTAAAGAGGGAGACCACAGCCAGGTGAGGAAGGCACGTAGAAAAGGCTTTGTGCCGGCCCTGCTCAGAGGGCATCCTCAGCACAGCCCTGAAGATCTGCACATAGGAAACCACAATGAAAACAAAACAACCGAAGGCTAAAGAGACGCCACCCACAAGGAGACCAGCTTCCCTGACGTATGATTTTGAGCAGGAAAGCTTGAGAATCTGGGGAAGTTCACAGAAGAACTGGTTCACAGCATTGCCATGGCAGAGGGGCAAGGAAAACGTATTGGCAGTGTGCAGCAGAGCAGTGAGAACCCCGCTGCCCCAGGCAGCTGCTGCCATCTGGGCACAAGCTCTGCTGCCCAGGAGGCTCCCGTAGTGCAGGGGCTTGCAGATGGCAACGTAGCGGTCATAGGACATAACTGTGAGGAGATAAAACTCTGCTGATATCAAGAAGAGCAAGAAAAAGAACTGTGCAGCACATCCTGAGTAGGAGATGGCCTTGGTGTCCCAGAGGGAATTGGCCATGGCTTTGGGGACAGTGGTGGAGATGCAGCCCAGGTCAAGGAGGGCGAGGTTGAGGAGGAAGAAGTACATGGGGGTGTGGAGGCGGTGGTCACAGGCTACGGCAGTGAGGATGAGGCCGTTGCCCAGGAGGGCAACCAGGTAAATGCCCAGGAAGAGCGCGAAGTGCAGGAGCTGCAGCTCCCGTGTGTCTGCGAATGGCAGGAGGAGGAACTCGGTGATGGAGCTGCTGTTGGACATTTGACATCTCTGTGCATAGAGACCTGCCAAATAGGAAAATGTAGTGACAAATAGGGACAGTGTTCTCTGAGAAAAACCTGCTACACTTCTCATTAAGTGACTTTCTGCTGAGACCTTTCTGCTGCTCCCTCGTTTGAGCTCTGATTGGTGTAGAATACATTTTCACTGGGAGTCCAGGATTCCGCTGTGGGTTCTGCCTGCCCTACAGTTCTAGTGAAATACGAACTGTGAGTGATCTCTGATTAAATCTAACTCTCACGTATGTTGACTTCACAGCATAACTACTGTCAACATTCTTGACAGCCAAACGGCATTTGTGGTTTGCTTTGTTCCAACTTCCTGTGTTACTCTTAGGAGATTTTTTTGAGGGAAGTAAACCCTGGCATTTGTAATGTATTCCAGTTGAGATTTTGTAAGTGCCAGGAGGCAAAGTGACTGTCCTTAGTGCAGTGCAGACAGCCAGTCTGTCTATCTTCCCTGGTCTCAGGCAGAGTCCTCTTAGGCTCAGTCCAATGGCCCCCATAGAGCCACTCAATTATTGTAGCCTCAGAAACTCCCTGGAAGGAGATCCATCTTAATTCTGCTGCATACACTGCATTGCACCAAGCCCCACAGGTTAGAAGAGGTTTTGGGCACCTTCCTTCTACAGGCACATCTACCTAGTGGGTCCTAGAGGGTCAGTGCTTGAGCTGCAGCTGAACACCCCATCTACAGGGAGCCATAAAGCTCCATGGAGATGGGAGAGCATAAAGAACAGCAGCAGAAGGTGCAGGAACAGAGAGAAATAAGATGAGGCTTCTGCCAGGGACGGACAGACAGGAATTCAGGAGAGTGTGCTCTGCTGGACTTCCTGCTGCTGAGTTTATGAGGCACATCCTGAATCTGTTGGGCTTGAGGGTGGACTGTGAGGTGCCAGACTATTCTGTTAATGCTCTCTTGCTAATTCCTGCCTGCAGCTGTCCCTGCCTGCAGCGGGGGTCTCTGTCCCCACATCTCCTGCCTGCAGCTCACAGCCCCCATCCCACCCGCTGGGTGCTCAGCTCTGCCCTGCAGACACCTCCTGGCAGCAGGGCTCTGCCCAGGGGCAGCTTGCTGGGGGTCACGTCCTAGAGCCCAGGGCACACAGACACTGATGACACTGTGCAAGGGGTGTTGGAGCTTTCTATGGGCTGAGGGGCAGGAAAGGGACTTGCTGGGGGTCCTTGTAAACTTCCTTCTTATGTCGAGTAAGTCTCAGTCTCTTCTTGGAAATAACAGCTTCTATTTCTATTCCCAGTGAGCTAAAAGAAGAGAAAACTGAAAGCAGAGGCTAAGGAAAGATGAGAGTGAAGTTCCCTTTGAAATTGCCTTGGTGTGCTGTGGAGCTGTGAGCAGGCTGCCCCAGGAAGCAGCCTCCCACCAGCAGCAGGACCCTGCCCTGCCGGGGGGGGCTCCTTCCACCCGCAGCTTCTCCCCGCAGCGCCCTGGGCAGCTCCCCGGGCAGGCTGAGTGCTGAGCCTGGCAGGCGGCAGAGGCCCTGCCCCGGCACACAGCCCCTGGGCCACAGCAGGGACCCTGCTCTGCACCACAGCCCTGGACACCCCTGCCTGCACCCCCGGCTTCTCCTGCCTCCAGGAACTGCGGCTGCATTGCCCTCCAGCCAGAGACTTACCGGGTGCAGGGCTGGGAAGTCTTCTCCCGCAGGGAGCTCTGGGCATGCTGCCACTTCTGCCTGCCTTTAAGCACTGTGTCTCTGCAGGCAGTGCCCCCAGCCCTGCTGCGCTGTGCAGAGGAGCTGCTCCTGGGCAGAGCTGTCTCTGTGCAGCGCTGCCCGCTTGCCAGGAGCTCCCCTTGGGCCCAGGAGCCCGGCCCAGCTCAGCAGCACAGCACCCGACCATGGCATCACTTGCTCTGTGCCATTGGGCTCCCTCGAGGTGTCCTCAAGGCCTCAGGGCTGACAGCTCCTGAAGTCATCGGGGTCTCTCCTGGGGTGTGGTGTTTGAAGCAGACTGAAGTCAGCAGCGACTGCTCCTCTCTGAACATGGGAGAGACTGATGTTAGAAGAGTGATTTGTGCTATTGATGTGCAGTTTTCAAACATGACGTTGTGGTTCAACCCAGCCGGCAGCTCAGCACCACACAGCTGTTAGCTCACTGCCCCTGCAGCTCCACACCTGTAAAGCTCATGGGTTGAGATGAAGACAGTTTTAAAAAAAGGACAGAAAAGGAAGAGATTAATAATAATAATAACAACAACAATAACAACAATAATAATTAGGTGTACAAAGCAAGTGATGCACAATACAATTGCTCACCACCCAATGATCGATGCCCAGCCTGTCCTCAATCAGCGGTCCCCCCAGCCCTGGCCAGCCTGCATGGGAATCAAGTGTTGCGGTCCCTTGACATTTGTTTTAGGGTAAAACCAGCTTTCAGAAGGATTTGGATTCTTTCCTTCCCTTTCTCAAATACTTCTGCTCTGTTGCCCCACATGATGATGTCACCAAGGTACTGCAGGTGTTCAGGAGCTTCCCCCATGGCAGGGCAGTCTGGGTCAGTCCATGGAAAATGGTAGGGCCAATTGCTTTGTCAATCACCCCTTCCCTAGAGTGGGATCCCAGCTGCTTGGCTTCTCTGCCCTCTAATTGCAGGCTATTAGCCCTGTTCTCCCAGCACTGGAGCAGCCAAGTGACAATGTGCTCATCTAGATGATGACTGACATTTTTTTCACAAATCTGGGATAGGTTACTGGATGCTGTTCTGATCTCTTCCTCTTTGCCCTCCTTCTTCCTTAATGGCCCAACTTTGTCGAAGCATTCCTTGTCTTCTTCCTCCTTTCTTGTCTGCATAGGAGTTTCCTTTCTAAAAAAAAAAAAAAAAAAAAAAAAAAAAAAAACAACCGGTTTTTTTCATCCATTTTTTCTCTTGCATATAGGTGTAACCAATAGTAGCACAGGTTGGTTCTCTGGCCCAGCTATGGGGCCCATCAGAGGGGCTGGAGTGGCTGCAGGGCCTGTCACAGGGGGTTGGAGTGTCTGCAGGGCCCATTGCAGGAGTTGCTATGGCTGCAGGGCCTTTCGGAGGAATTGGAGAGGCAGCAGGGATCGTCACACAGACTGGAGTTGCGGGAGGGCCTGTCATTGGACTTGGAGTAGCATTGGCTGTGTCTTCTATACATAGGAAAAGCCCCAGCTCTTTGCAGCAATTTGTATCTTTTCACAACCTTTTTTCATGTATTTCACCATTTTTTTTAGGATTCTTCACTTGCTCAGGGGTGAAGTTCCAAAGCATTGGTGTGCCCACTGCTCTAGGTGCCTGCTAGTATCCTCCCATACTCCTAGCCTCTACTAAATCTACTGCCTGGGGGCAGACTTCTGGATGGCACTCTCAAATACTTGTTTAACCTTAAACAAAAGATGAACACATTCAGGAGACATCACAATAGGAACAGGCTGGTTTGACCATCCCCAGGATACTGAAAGCTTTGAAGCTATTGTAACTAGCCTGGAAGAGAAAGGGGAGGAGAAGGAGAAAGGGAGAGTGAAGAAGTTGTGAAAAGTGTCACCCCTTTGTCAGCTCCCTGTCCCTATCTACCAGCTCAGGGGCTGAGTATCAGGGGAACAACTGGTCTTGCTGCTAAAGACTGAGGCAAAGAAGGCATTAAATACCTCAGTCTTTTTCTCATCTATTGTCAAAATGTTTCCCTCCACATCCAATAAAGTATGAAGATTCTCCTTAATCCTCCCCTTCTTGTGTATTTCTAAAACCATTTTTATTGTCTTTGATGGTAACAGCCAGACTGATCTCCAGTTAGGCTTTGGCCCTTCTATTTTTGTCCTTGCAAAGACTTCCAAGATTTAAGACAAAGTTCCAAACAAAATGACAGAAGGCATGAGAAGGAAGCACAGAAAAGGTGGACTCTGGCAGCCTTCCATGCTCGAGCCCTCTGTGAGTCTGTGCTGCAACTCCATTCAACTACTTACTCCTGTATTGTCCAAACTCTCCTGCAACTGCCAATGCTGCTATCTTGTGAGAGACAGCACAATCAGGGTGAGCCATCTGCCTATAGACATTAACAGCTGACGCAGTGGAGCATCTGTCCAGGGGAACCTGGAGAAACAGCAGGATTTTGCCTACAGAAACCTCTTGACATTTTGAAGGAGAAAAGGAAGAGGGCCTGGGCACCATGAGGGATGCCATACAAGCAGTGGTGCCTGCTCACCAGGAACCAGGCCAGCTTCCTACAGAGCTGCCTTACAAGGAACACGGCCACCAAGAAAATATGAGTTGTCTTTCTCAGCTCAGATCTGGTGTGACATGACATGGACAAGGGTCTACAGCCAGCAGGGAAAGAGGTGTATGTCTGGGAGTCCCTAGGGTATCCTGGTCTGGAGAGGAACAAGGACTTAGCAAGGCTGAAATCCCAACAAGACCAAGATATTTCTACCTATGGCTATGGCTGTTGTCTCTGCCACTGAGGCCTATGAGGAGACAGCTCATCATTAGAGCACCACGGTCTCATTGCTGATATTTTGGAATTGCCTGATCCTGTGCTTTTAGGAGGCAGCGCTTAAGACTGACCAGCACTGATGGACGCCAATGACTTCAAAAGCAGTTTCCCAGGGACCTTGCTAACTAGTTCCCCAGGCAGCCTGAAGTCTGCTCTCCCCATATCCAGGACTGAAGTTTTGGTGGCAGTTTTCCTCCTGTCACCAAAAATTTCAAACTCAACAATTTCATGGTCATTATGACCAAGATGGCCACCAATTGCCACATCTCTCACAAGACCCACTTTGTTCTCCAGCAGCAGATCTAGTAGGGCACCTTTCCTAGTTGGCTCCCTTAGCACCTGAACCAAAAAGTGATCTTCAAGGTGCTTTAGGAACCTCCTGGACCTGCTTGTGTTGGCCGTGTGGTAATCACAGTTGACGACTGGCAAGTTGAATTCCCCATCAGGACAAGGGCAACTGATCTTGAGGTATTTCTTAGCTCTTCAAAGAATAATTCATTGGTGTCATCATC